GAGACTATTGTGTTAAAGCGGCTGTGCTGATTTGAACTAAACTGAGAAATTAAACAAATTAATTATTGATAGTGATTTTGATTCAGTATCTTTAAACAAATATTTATATGAATGATGCCTTGATGACAATCTTTCACTTCATCCTCATCAGAAAACACTCAGGGTGTCACACTTCCATTATTGTTTGTGTTCTTGGCTTGACAGATGTGACAGTTGAAAGGGACAACAACATATTAGAAGTTCCTTTTAAGATTCTGAAGTGCATCCTAGTTGTAGAACGTAACTTTATGTTGAAACTGTCATGGTCTTGGTTCTGCTGTTCTTTACTTTGCTCCTTGTTTTCTAGATTTATTGGTTTAATTCCAGTTTTGTTGTATTTCTAGATTTATATTAGTTCTCATGTTTTCCTGTTGTCCCCTTTTGCCCTCTTGTGTGTGTATGTTCCTTTCCCCTTGGCTCCCTCGTTGTCTCCTCTCACACCTGTTCCTTGTCTGCTCGTTAGCCCTCCCTTTGTCTCTCTCTCCTATATATGCTCTCCCTCTGCTCTCACTCTTTGTTGGTTCCTTGTCTTAGCTGTCTTCCCATGCTGTGGTCTATGTTCCTCGTCTCTTCCTGGCTCCTCGTGTTTGGTTTTCCCCAGATGTCTCCTCTGTTCTGGTTTGCCTTTTTATTATTAGTTGCATTTTTGGATCCCTGCCTTTGTTTACTGTTTTGCCCCATTAAAACTGCCAAGAGATCTCCTCAGCCTCTGCCTCTGCATTTGGGTCCTCCAAACCACAACTAAAACCTGACATTAGGAACCAACCACAATGGACCCAGCAGAGCCCAGTCTGGACACCCTGAGGGATTTTTTCCTGAAGCTGGGAAAGGCTCTGGACACTATTGCCAGTCTCAGCCCGCCTGAGGAGAGGGTGAGTGCAGCTGGCCAACTAAGGCAAATTCTCCTCACAAACTGCAAACTCATTTCTCCCCCAGTGCTGTCTGAACTGTTTGAAGAGTTGGAGTGGAACCACCAAGCAGCCAGCGCCCAACTCTTCAACAGACCTCCACCACCCAAACCATCACTTCACCTCCTTCCAACTCTGCTCTCAATCGCCTCCAGTCCGGTTCCTCCACCTTCACCAGCTGTTGGTCCCCCCATGCCGTCTGCCTCCTCCAGGCGTAAGCGCCGCCGGGGGAAGAAATCCATTCCCTCTCCGGCGGGTCAGCCTGACGCCTCCACTCCCTCTCCGGCGGGTCAGCCTGGCGCCACCACTCCCTCTCCGGCGGGTCAGCCTGACGCCTCCACTCCCTCTCCGGCGGGTCAGCCTGACGCCTCCACTCCCTCTCCGGCGGGTCAGCCTGGCGCCTCCACTCCCTCTCCGGCGGGTCAGCCTGACGCCTCCACTCCCTCTCCGGCGGGTCAGCCTGACGCCTCCACTCCCTCTCCGGCGGGTCAGCCTGACGCCTCCACTCCCTCTCCGGCGGGTCAGCCTGACGCCTCCACTCCCTCTCCGGCGGGTCAGCCTGACGCCTCCACTCCCTCTCCGGCGGGTCAGCCTGACGCCTCCACTCCCTCTCCGGCGGGTCAGCCTGACGCCTGCTTCAATCCCACTATTCTTCAGGTCAGTTTCCCCTATGGCCGTCACCTCCATGATCAGCAGTTAGCTCCTCGAGTTAGAGGTTTAAACTCAGTCACCATGATTACACCCACTGCAGTCAGAGCACCACATATTGAGGAGTCAGAGTTATGGGACTACTTTTATGGGCAAAGGGAGGATCTATTCCCTTTCCTTCCACCTCCATCAGTTCCCTGTCAGCCAGCACATCCCAAGCCCTTCAGCGGGCCAGTGTCCTTAGCTCCAGAGCCCTTTAGCGGGCCGGTTTACCTAGCTCCAGAGCCCTTTAGCGGGCCGGTTTCCCTAGCTCCAGAGCCCATTGACGGGCCAGTTTCCCTAGCTCCAGAGCCCATTGACGGGCCAGTTTCCCTAGCTCCAGAGCCCATTAGAGGGCCAGTTTCCCTAGCTCCAGAGCCCATTAGAGGGCCAGTTTCCCTAGCTCCAGAGCCCATTAGAGGGCCAGTTTCCCTAGCTCCAGAACCCATTAGAGGGCCAGTTTCCCTAGCTCCAGAGCCCATTAGAGGGCCAGTTTCCCTAGCTCCAGAGCCCATTAGAGGGCCAGTTTCCCTAGCTCCAGAGCCCATTAGAGGGCCAGTTTCCCTAGCTCCAGAGCCCATTAGAGGGCCAGTTTCCCTAGCTCCAGAGCCCATTAGAGGGCCAGTTTCCCTAGCTCCAGAGCCCATTAGAGGGCCAGTTTCCCTAGCTCCAGAGCCCATTAGAGGGCCAGTTTCCCTAGCTCCAGTCCCCCTTAGCGGTCCTGTTTCTCTAGCTCCAGTCCCCCTTAGCGGTCCTGTTTCTCTAGCTCCAGTCCCCCTTAGCGGTCCTGTTTCCCTAGCTCCAGTCCCCCTTAGCGGTCCTGTTTCTCCAGTCCCCCTTAGCGGTCCTGTTTCCCTAGCTCCAGCTTCCCCAGTGCCTGTGCCCATTAGCGGGGCAGCTTCCCCAGTGCCCATTAGCGGGGCAGCTTCCCCAGTGCCCATTAGCGGGGCAGCTTCCCCAGTGCCCATTAGCGGGCCGTTTTGCCTAGCGCCAGAGACTCCTGAGCCCATTAGCGGGCCGTTTAGCCTAGCGCCTGAGACTCCTGTGGCCATTAGCGGGCCGTTTAGCCTAGCGCCTGGGACCCCTGAGCCCGCTCAGAGTCATCCTGATATCCCTGAGCACACAAGTAAAAGGCTCTCTAAAATAAAGCTCAGCGGGCGCTCCAAGCCTCCACGGCCCCTCAGCGGGCGCTCCAAGCCTCCACGGCCCCTCAGCGGGCGCTCCAAGCCTCCACGGCCCCTCAGCGGGCGCTCCAAGCCTCCACGGCCCCTCAGCGGGCGCTCCAAGCCTCCACGGCCCCTCAGCGGGCGCTCCAAGCCTCCACGGCCCCTCAGCGGGCGCTCCAAGCCTCCTCTGAGGCTGTTCCCGTGCCGCAGTCGGCGGCCCCCTCTGAGGCTGTTCCCGTGCCGCAGTCGGCGGCCCCCTCTGAGGCTGTTCCCGTGCCGCAGTCGGCGGCCCCCCTCTGAGGCTGTTCCCGTGCCGCAGTCGGCGGCCCCCTCTGAGGCTGTTCCCGTGCCGCAGTCGGCGGCCCCCTCTGAGGCTGTTCCCGTGCCGCAGTCGGCGGCCCCCTCTGAGGCTGTTCCCGTGCCGCAGTCGGCGGCCCCCTCTGAGGCTGTTCCCGTGCCGCAGTCGGCGGCCCCCAAGGTTCCTGCAGCTGCGTCTGAGACGGCGTCCCCCAAGGTTCCGGCAGCTGCGTCTGAGACGGCGTCCCCCAAGGTTCCGGCAGCTGCGTCTGAGACGGCGTCCCCCAAGGTTCCGGCAGCTGCGTCTGAGACGGCGTGCCCCAAGGTTCCGGCAGCTGCGTCTGAGACGGCGTGCCCCAAGGTTCCGGCAGCTGCGTCTGAGACGGCGTGCCCCAAGGTTCCGGCAGCTGCGTCTGAGACGGCGTGCCCCAAGGTTCCGGCAGCTGCGTCTGAGACGGCGTGCCCCAAGGTTCCGGCAGCTGCGTCTGAGACGGCGTCGCCGGTGTCCTCCAGAGGCCCTCCTCCGTCCTCCAGAGGCCCTCCTCCGTCCTCGCCTCCGGCCCCACCGCCGTCCTCCAGAGGCCCTCCTCCGTCCTCGCCTCCGGCCCCACCGCCGGCCTCCAGAGGCCCTCCTCCGTCCTCGCCTCCGGCCCCACCGCCGGCCTCCAGAGGCCCTCCTCCGTCCTCGCCTCCGGCCCCACCGCCGGCCTCCAGAGGCCCTCCTCCGTCCTCGCCTCCGGCCCCACCGCCGGCCTCCAGAGGCCCTCCTCCGTCCTCGCCTCCGGCCCCACCGCCGGCCTCCAGAGGCCCTCCTCCGTCCTCGCCTCCGGCCCCACCGCCGGCCTCCTCCTGGGGCCCTCCTCCTTCATCAGAGACGCCGCCGGCCTCCTCCTGGGGCCCTCCTCCGTCAGAGACGGCGTCGCCGCCGGCGACCTCCTGGGGCCCTCCTCCGTCAGAGACGGCGTCGCCGCCGGCGACCTCCTGGGGCCCTCCTCCTTCAGAGACGGCGTCGCCGCCGGCCCCCTCCAGAGAGCCTCCTTCGTCAGAGACGGCGTCGCCGTCCTCCTGAGCTTCTGCCTCGCCTCCGGCCTCACGGCCGCCCTCCAGAGACTCTTCCTGGCCTCCGGCCACACGGCCGCCCTCCAGAGACTTTGTTTGCCCTCGCCCACCTTGGGTGGGTTGTTTTGGTTTTGTTTGGACTCTGCGTTTGGTTTTGTATTTCGTGCCCTCCTTCCTGGTTCCCCCCTCCGCCCACCCAGGGTGGGTTGTTTTTTGTTTCTGGACATTTTAGGGCGTCTGGGATCCGCCCTTAAGTGGGGGGCACTGTCATGGTCTTGGTTCTGCTGTTCTTTACTTTGCTCCTTGTTTTCTAGATTTATTGGTTTAATTCCAGTTTTGTTGTATTTCTAGATTTATATTAGTTCTCATGTTTTCCTGTTGTCCCCTTTTGCCCTCTTGTGTGTGTATGTTCCTTTCCCCTTGGCTCCCTCGTTGTCTCCTCTCACACCTGTTCCTTGTCTGCTCGTTAGCCCTCCCTTTGTCTCTCTCTCCTATATATGCTCTCCCTCTGCTCTCACTCTTTGTTGGTTCCTTGTCTTAGCTGTCTTCCCATGCTGTGGTCTATGTTCCTCGTCTCTTCCTGGCTCCTCGTGTTTGGTTTTCCCCAGATGTCTCCTCTGTTCTGGTTTGCCTTTTTATTATTAGTTGCATTTTTGGATCCCTGCCTTTGTTTACTGTTTTGCCCCATTAAAACTGCCAAGAGATCTCCTCAGCCTCTGCCTCTGCATTTGGGTCCTCCAAACCACAACTAAAACCTGACAGAAACAATATGAATTTAGCAGGTGTAAAACAGCTTATTATCAGTATTGTTATAATAGTAATTAAAGTAACAGCTTTCACTCACAGTGTGGGTTGTAGCAGTAAACGTCCCATCTCTCACTTTTGTTCAGCCTGTATCCATAGTCGATGATGCCAACTTTCCCATAGCCACAGTTGGCACCAGGTTTGACGATGGGATAGCCGACGCGTCCTTTGTCGAACCATCCAGCGGCGCACACGTGCAAACCTAAAAGCAAGAGAATGACGCCGTGTTTTTTGTTTTGCCACCACAGGTTATAGGCTCTGTGCTGATAATTCAGATCTTCCCTCCAGAACCTCCAAACATTTAGAGAAACAGTTAATGAAAGCCTATTGGAGAGCATTTATTTATTTCTCTTTGTGGAGACTCCTGGGGTTCGGAAAACTAAACTGTAGCCAATGGCACAGAGCCTAGCAGGGCTTGCAGCTGTGCAGAGCAAAGGGAATGTTACTGTAGCTCTAAAAAGTGCTGGGGGGTAAAACAAGCCAAGCAAAAATTATCAGACTGCAAAGAAACACACAAATAGGCAACAACATGCAGATCCAATATTGCACTATTTTATATACACTGGAAAAACAATCTAGAAATAAGTAAAACTGTCTCAAATTAAGTGCATTTACCCTTAATTTTAGTAGGTTAATGAGATGATTTGCCAATGGAATGAGTATTTTTACTCTTAAAATAAGATATTTAGATAAAAATGCACTTGAAATAATAAAAATGCAATTGTGTTTCCTTATTTAAATGTAAATTGTCTTGTTCCATTGGCAAGATGTCTGTTATACCTTCTCAATTTAAGAACAAATGCACTTATTTTAAGAAAAAAAATGGCTTATCTAGATTTAGATTTTTTCCAGAGTAGACATATATCTCTGTCTATTTAACCTTCCTATGGTGCTAGGGTCCCTACGGACCCGTTTTGAGTTTTAGCATGCATAAAAGTACTTCATACATTTGTTTTTTGCGTTGAAACTTTTTGACTTTGTCAAGGACTTCAATTTAAACAAAGTAAAATCAAATTTTATTTTTTTACTAAATTATAAAGTGCTCTGGTGGAAAAAACTGACTTTTGTGGTGTTTGGGTCATTTGTGACCCGGTTAAAATTTTTGATCTTAAAACAATAAAAAATGCCTAAAATGTAATCATGAACACACAATCAACCAACAGCCTCTTCTTCCAACCACTTGAGCTTCATTTAGGGCCTTTTGTCTTTGCCTTTTTGCGAGAACAAACAAAGGGAGACATGTCCAGGCTTGTCAAGCCATTTGAGTGTAGAGGTGGTGACTTGAAGAGTACACATCGCCAATTCACAGGATGCAACAATAAGGAGAAGATTCACTGTAAATAAAGCTTTGGATCACATCTTTGCAGCAAATGAGGCAGAGGACACGCAGGATTTTAGCGATGGAGATGAGCAGGCCTCTGAGAACGGGCAACAATGTTGCTTTGGACCTTTCAGATGATCTCAAGAGTCCTCAGATTTGACAATGATACACCAGAGCAAAATCTTACAAGCTTGCTCCCATCAGGGATGTTTGGGAGAGATGGGTGCAACTCCTTCCACTGATGTTCAACCCAGGATGAATGTTTTCTCCCTTTTCGAGGAAAATGCCCGTTCCGGCAATACATGCCCAGCAAGCCAGGCAAATATGGCATAAAAATCTGGGCAGCCTGTGATGCTAAAACAAGCTATGCGTGGAACCTACAGATTTACACAGGAAAATCTGCAAGCGGCATCCTTGAAAAAAACCAAGGAAAACGGGTAGTCCTCGATTTGACTACTGGACTGCAGGGTCACAACATCACTTGTGACAATTTTTTTACATGCTATGACCTTGGACAAGAACTTCTCAGAAGGAAACTCACCATGGTGGGCACCATAAAAAAAATAAACCTGAGCTGCCCGCTGAAATGTGGCTGGTGAAGGACAGGAGGAGTGGACAATCTGGACAAGCTGACTGCCACCTACACTTGCCAGCGAATGACCAGGAGATGGCCTATGGTTGTGTTTTACAACATCCTCAATGTGTCTGCATACAATGCATTTATGTTGTGGACCCATATTCACCAAGGGTGGAATTCAACCCAAAACACTAAGCGGAGAATGTTTCTTGAGGAGCTCGGGAATTCCCTTGTCAAGCCGCACATTGAGCAACGGGAACGGGTGCCCCGAGACCCAGCTACTGCAGATTTGGTCAGACAGCTGCAGTGGTCACCAAACACGCCATCCACATCCACAGCAACAAGAAGAGTATCAGCATCACCTTCCCCCTCTGCAGCCAGCCCTGCCTCAAGCACTCCATCCACAGCCACAATGCCAGTGAGACCACCTCGCTCAAAAAGAAAGAGGTGTCAGGTCTGCCCTAGCAATATGGACAGAAAAACCTACACAGTGTGCTTCACCTGCAACAAATATATCTGCAAAGAACACACTAAAAGTGTAAATATACACAAATATAAATATTGTATTCAAGTTCAATTGAAAAAAGACTTGTTTTTACCCTTTTCTTGAAGTAAATATATACATGTCCAAAATGACCCGAAACACCATAGATGTTACTATATTTGATAATATTAAAATTAAAATCTTTTTTTTGTTGAACATTTATGAAATGTGTCTTAATATCTCTCAGTTGCACTCAGGTAACAAAACAACTGATTATTTTGTTGCTTTCTTCTCTTAAGGTTCATTTGACCACTTTTTAGACATTGAAAACGAGGGGTATGCTGCTAAAACAAAGGCCCAGGGGGCCACAAAAAATATTAAAACCAATCTTTTCATAGATAAGGGAGCCCAATCAGCTAAACAAGAGTTAAGAAAAACATTGGATGATAAAAGATTGTTTTTAGGGTATTTTATGGCTGATTTAATACTCGGGTCCAAAATGACCCGCTAACACTACAGATGGCAGCAGAAAGCTAACACAAGAGGAAGGTTAAGTAAATACCATACTGGCTGTGTCTTCATACAGATCGAACACTGTCCATTTTTCATGGACCTCATGCTAAGCTATGCAGACACTCCATCTGCGCTGGTGAAGTTTTAACTCACTTTTTTATGCATAATTCTGTACTGATTTAAAGTTTAACTATTAAAAGTAAACCATCCCAATGCAGTGGAGCCAGATTATTTTTAGCAAACTAAAACTAGGCATAATTCAAGTTCATATCTTCATATATGAAGTTCATATTTACTGAATATATACGTATCTTCTATGTATATATTCCAGGTTTACCAAATTCATTGATGCAAGTAGAGCAGAAGTTTACAAACAAATAAAGTTCTTGGGAGTAAATTGACCAACCTTAAGTTTACTTTGACGAATACAATATATAGTTTACTTTACATATGTCCATATATGAACCTAAACTTAATGTAATAATAAACATCCGAGTCTACTTATAGTTTATAAGTAATAATTTGAAGTTTATTAAAATGAACCTTTAAATTATATGAATGATAGTAAAAAGTTGTATACTTTAAGTTTATTTAGTTAAGTAGAGCATACATATAGCAAGTATTTAACAGATCATGTACTGGTAGTGTACTTGAAAGTATGCTAATTTAATACTTTTTTGCAATGTATGGGACATTCTTAAGTTTGCAAAAGCATGATGTTACATAGTTAAATAAAAAAACTAAAATATACAGCTAGTACAGTCATCTTTACACTACTAGTGTAAAAGGCATATATATGCCTGTAGTTCACATTTGTTGAAGTACATTTAAAGTAACTACAAGTACTCGTACTCAATGTCACCTAATTCATCTGGGCTCAGGTTGCCCGGGCAACAGTCTCAGCAGAGACGTCCCTCTATCCAGACTCCTCTGGACTCCTGAGGCGCTCCCAGGCCAGCCGAGAGACATAGTCCCTCCAGCGCATCCTGGGTCGTCCCCTGGGCCTCCTCCCAGTGGGACGTGCCTGGAGGCGTCCAGGGGGCTTCCCAAAAGATGTCCGAGCCACATGACCTAACTTCTCTAGATGTGAAGGAGGAGCGGCTCTACTCTGAGCCGTTCCCCGATGATGGAGCTCCTCACCCTATCGCTAAAGGAGAGCCCACACACCCTGCAGAGAAAGCTCATTTCAGTCACTTGAACCCAGAATCTTGTTCTTTGGGTCATGATCCAGATTTCATGACCATAAGTGAGGGTAGGAACCAGTGGCGGCCGGCCCATAGGGGGCGCTGGGGCACCGCCCTCCCTGATAAGAAGAGAGAAACGTAAAATATATTTTTAGAAATTAACTCATAAATGTCAGTTTTACTCTCTAGACTGTGTACCTATAAGCAAAACAAATTATATAAACTACATTTCCCTATCTACTGTCATTAATTTGTGGATTTCCACAGACAGACTCCTACCGTCTCTGTTCTGGGGGCGTTGATCAGACAGACCCACATTTGCAGAGAATCTGTCAATCATGTACTATTGCTAGGTGAATTTAATGGCCAATCAGCGTCTCGGAACTTTATGGTATTGGGGCGCTGAAAATACTGCGCTTTAACAGGCTTCTGAACCCAAGCGCAGGTGCAGACAGTTAGAGGGAAGATGGCGAATGTAACGACCGAGATGCAGCTTCCACCAAATTCGGTGAGATCCTTATTTATCTACCCGTTTGCCAGAAGAATATCCCTGTTGTAGGATATGAACATTTCATGTCATGGTTATTGTGACTGTGACGAATCCACCTCGTCGCTTAAAACTACCTCTCTAACTTTGCGCGCCACACACACATTCCTGTTATACTGTGTTTGTGAGGACCAATACACTCGCGCTGAGCCCAGTAGCTCCATGAACTTAAAACACACAAGCTGTTCCTGGTTACCTGCTGGCGTATTGAGGGAGCACACTTAATATTTCAGTGGGGTTAGCCGTGTGTGTGGGTGTGTGTGTGTGCGTGTGGGTGTGTGGGGGGTGTGGGTGTGTACGTGTTTATGCTACGGGGACTTGTCATCTTCAGTCTGGCTGCGTCTTTGCTGGGTTCAAACCCAGTTTGGTGTAATTGAATAAGTCAATGAATCTGTGTAAAAGAATTAAGTTGTAAAAATTATTTGTTTTTGTACATCAATTGTTTGTGGAGGTAATATATGGACAAAACTGATTAATGAGAAGAAATCAGAATTAAGAGAGCCTGATGTGAGGGGCTTAAACTATTTAATGAGGGCTGTGGGAAGAAAAGCGGCCATTTTTGTTTTCTGTTTCTTTGTTACATTGCTGGTAACCGGAGGGAGGCTGAGGCCCAGAGTATCTTGTATGTTTAGTTTCTTTTGCACCCTGTTTTGAGTTTTTGAGCTCAATAAATCACCAACACCGGTAACCCGACTGAGACTGGATTCTTGGAGGCCAAAGAACCCCGTCACAGTGACCCAAATCATCACTGTTACTGTTATTATATAGTAAATTAAATCATTACTGTTAAATTGTATGTATTGTCCAATTGTTTATTTGAATTCTTATTCCGGATTAGTTGGAGACATACACTAGGCTATATCAGCCCCACCAAAAATATTTTTCACCAGCCTCCACTGGTAGGAACGTCGATAGAAGAGTAAATCCAGTGCTTTGCCTTTTCGCTTAGCTCTCTCTTCACCACAGCAGATCAGTGGAGTGTCTGCATTAAAGCAGCAGCCACAGGCAATAGGGAGAAGGTAACAGGAAGGCTGAGAAAAGGCCTAGTTTAGCAAAGTCATGAGCAAAGTTTTGAGCTTTCCATCTCTGCCCAGATGCACCACAGAGCGCCACAGGAAATCATTCCTACCTGTGGTCATCAATCTCTATACCTCAAGAGATTCAGCCCCCCCCCCCTCTGTAATTGACATTTATGCAGTATTTTTGCAAACCATGTATCACTTTACTTGGATTTATCACTTTACTTGGATTTTCACTTTACTAGGATTTAGTTTTTACATATGCATATATATATACAGAAGAGCTACATGTGTATATATTTTATCTCTTTTTCATTTTTACCTTTAACTCTCTCTCTCTGTCTCTCTCTCTCTCTCTCTCTCTCTCTCTCTCTCTCTATATATATATATATATATATATATATATATATATATATATATATATATATATATATATATATATATATATATATATATATATATATATATATATATATATAAAACTGTAACTGGAGCGTGTAACAAAAGTAATTTCCCTCTGGGATTATTAAAGTATTTCTAATTCTGATCTGATTCTGATTGTCTGTGGGTTATTGCAGTATTTCCCTACCGGGGCTACGTGTGCCCCTGGTGGTCCGTGAGTGTATTGCAAGGGGTGCAGGAAATTATTTTATTATTTAGGCAGTGAAATAAAATGGAGGTGGTATCTATTTTACTTTGTGAGGACCCAATTGAAAAATCAAATAAACATTTATCAAACAAAAGTTCATTTTTTCTTATATGTTTGAGTTCACCTTCAGGTTTGACACTCATCAAAACCAAGCAGAAGAACAGACTGGATCAAGAGAACAGCCTGGGATCTGCTGGTTTTCACACTGAGCTGTAGGAGCTCATCAAAGCAGCTCAGGTGTCTGGATGAAAACAAATAAAACTGATTAAGTCAGTCTGACTATAGTTCTGCATTTTGTTTCCAATTAATCAAATTTAAATGTGATTATAAGGGAGTTACTCAAAGGAGCTCCAATTTTATAAAAACAGGTTCATAATACAATTTTATTTTGTATTAAAATATAATATGATTTTATTTTAAATTAAAAGATGAAGTAAAATAGTTTTCATTTCAGTTATTGTATGTTCCACTTTTGGGCAGTCATCAATACTTCTGACAGAGAGGGAAACTCATGGTACGAAAAAATGCCCAAAAGGGTTCACAGGTCAAAAAAGGTTTGGAAACATTGGACAATAAAACGGAAAAATTGGCAAAAAAGAGAAATCTCAGTGATTTTTCTAATCCAATTCAATTCAGTTTATTTCTATAGCGCCAATTCACATCATGTCATCTCAGGTCTCTTTCCAGTTCACCAGATCATCCAGTCAGATTGATTCAAAGTTTTCTATCTAAGGAAAACCAGTTGATTGCATCGACTCATTGACTCTTCAGCAATCCCTCACACTAAGCATGCTTGTAGTGACAGAGGAGAGGAAAAACTCCCTTTGAACAGGAAGAAACTTCCAGCAGAACCAGGCTCAGTGTGAGCGGCCATCTGCTGAGGCCCACTGGGGTTCAAGGAGACAGAAGCAGAGACAATCTTGCTTTCAGTGTATTTGGTGCACTTGAAAAAAATCGAAATCTAGAATAGTTTTGTATTAAAATAAGTGAATTTTTTGGAACAAGACAATTTACACTTAAAATAAGAAAAAACAATTGCATTGTCTTATTTCAAGTGCATTTTATCTAAATATCTTATTTTAAGAGTAAAAATACTCATTCCATTGGCAGAACATCTGATTTACCTACTCAAATTAAGGGTAAATACACTTAATTTAAAACATTTTTACCTTTTTCTAGATTGTTTTTCCAGTTTGGAACATAATGCTGTGTGAAATCTCTGCTCCTCATGTGAATAATAAATGACTGCAGGTACAATTCCAAAAATGTATCTTCTTATCTAATTGTTAAATAACCAGAAGCTGCAGCTCAGCTTTAACAGGAAACTTGGAATCTCTATTTCAACTAATCCACCTCTGATCTGACATAAAGACATCACAATCATTTTTTCTTAAATTAGGTGCATTTGTTCTTGAATTATGAAGGTAAAAGACACATTTGGCCAATGGAACAAGACAAATCATATTTAAAATGATAAAACACAATTGCATTGTCTTATTTTAAGTGCATTTTATCGAAGTATCTTATTCAAAGAGTAAAAATTATGATTCCACACTGGAAAAAATCAAAATCTAAATAAGTCATTGTTTTCTTAAAATATGTGCATTTTTTTCTTGGATTGAGGAACTAAGTGAGACATCTTGCCAATGGAACAAGACAATTTACACTTACAATAAGAAAAAGAATATTGAATAGTTCTATTTCAAGTGTATATTATCTAATTACCTTAATTTAAGAGTAGAGATCCTCATTCCATTGGCAAACTATCTCATTTACCTACTGAAATTAGGGGAAAATACACTTTTTAAGACATTTTTACTTATTTCTAGATCGTTTTTGCAGTGCATTGGCAGATCATCTGATTTATCTACTCAAATTAAGGGTAAATACACTTAATTTAAGACATTTTTTACCTTATCTTTTTCTAGATTGTTTTTTCCAGTGCAATGTGAAAGAAATAAAGCAGCAATTTCTAAAGTGAACCAGAGATGTTGTTCAAAGGCTTTTATGGCCCTTTTCCATCACACCTCTTTCCATTTCTGTCACACTTTTCATTGCTTCCCCTTAACCTCTAACCCCTCTGTGCACGTTAAAAGCATTCCATCAGTTAGGAGCTGTGCTGCATCATTTCCGATCCGCCATCTGATGTATTTTAAAGAGTAAAGACAGAGCAAACATCACAGGGAAAACTTCAGGGTGAAGGGATTCAGTGTTGAGTGTCATCACAGAGGAGTCTGGTTTACTTTTAAAGAGACCACAAGGCTGATCTGTGAATTTGTGAGTGATTGGATGCAGACCTATTTGACGCGCTGCCTCCAGTTGCTCATAGGTGGCCAGCTTCCCGCCCTCGTATTGGCAGACAGCCTTGGCCTCCCTGTACGTCAGCTGATACCTCCCCTTTCGTGACTCACGATGGTAAACCCCAGCTGCTTGTTCTGTCAAAAACAAAGAAAACAGAAAAGCTGTGTCAAAATTCAAAAATCCCAAATAAAAAGGGTGTGCAATACAGTCTAATTTAATATTACAAATTTACGTTTCATAAGATCAAACTTGTCACTCCAGGCAGCTAAAATGTTCATGTACAGTTACAACCTGGTCACAGGCAAATAAAACCCCACTAAAACCTTTAGAATCTCTACATAAAATCTAAATTTTGGATATAAAAAGCATCTAAATAATCCCCATTTTAAGCTGGGAAAATTCCATCAAGCATTCAAACCTCTGTCTGTTTTGCTAAATAATCCATGGTGTGTCATCTCCTCCACTCAGTCACACTGATAGCAACATGGGGGTCGGCCAGAGGAGACGGTGTTTTTCCTCTGCATAGAAATGCTTTTGGTCAAATAGCCTTTGCAGTCACAACAGCTCAGGAGTGGAACTCTGTCCCTCAGAACATCAGCGAACTTTGAACATACACTCGAAAAAATCGAAATGTAGATAAGTCATTTTTTCATAAAATTAGTGTATTTGTTCTTGGATTTGAGGAGGTAAAAGAGACATTTTGCCAATGGAACGAGACAATTTACACCTAAAATAAGAAAACACAATTGCATTGTCTTATTTTAAGTGCATATTATCTAATTATCATATTTAAAGAGTAAAAATACTCATTCCATTGGCAAACTATCTCATTTACCTACTCAAAATAAGGGTAAATACACTTAATTTTAGAAATATTTACTTATTTCTAGATCGTTTTTCCAGTGTTCAAAAAGCATCTAAAATACTGGCTCATAACAATCGAAAAAAAAAACAAACCTAGATGAGTCATTTTTTCTTAAATTAAAGCTACAGTGTGTAATTTTCAGCGACATCTAGCGGTCAGACTGCAGACCGCAGCAACATGAACATCTCCCCCCCACCGCTTCTCCCCCCAAACAGTACGGCGAGCGTTACGGGACAAAATGTCTTCCACGACGCCCGCATCACCTACCTTCTCAAGTGATGAGGTTTGTTTACATAGATCATTTTAATACTGCCATCTACTGTTCAGTACCGTCTCAGTTCATCTCTCTCAACTTGCCGTAGTTACTTTCGAGCGTAATGGGCGATCTCACAATCGCTAGTTTGTTGGCTCTGCGCTGCCGTAGCGCAAAGATGTCTGCCTCCATGGCTGCGAGACCCGCTCCTATGTAATTATAAATAACGAATTCTAAGGCAACGCAAATATTAAGGTTAAGAGCCTGAGCTCGTAGATGATGATAAATAACATAGTTATGTATAATATATTACATTTCTGACTGTATATCCCTGTAATTATTACACACTGTAGCTTTAAAATAAGTGTATATGTTCTTGGATTGAGGAGGTAAAAGAGAACTTTTGCCAATGGAACAAGAAAATTTACATTTAAAATAAAAGAAACAGAATTTCATTGTCTTATTTCAAGTGCATATTATCAAATTATCTTATTTTAAGAGTAAAAATACTCATTCCATTGGCAAATCATCTTATATACCTATTGAAATGAAGGGTAAACATAATTTAAGAAATGTTTACTTATTTCTAGAAAATTTTTCAGGTGAACACCTCACACTGCAAAAACAATCTCAAAGTGAGTAATAATGTCTTAAATTATGGGTATTTACCCTTAATTTGAGCATGTAAAAAAGATGATTTGCAAATGGAATGAGTATTTTTACTCTTAAAATAAGTTATCTAGATATTATGCACTTGAAATAAGACAATGCAATTGTTTTTTTCCTTTTTTAAGTGTACATTGTCTTGTTCCATTGGCAAAGTTCCTCACTTAAATCCTTAATTCAAGAAAAAATGACTTATTTAGATTTCATTTTTTTGCAGTGCAGTCATGTCAGCATTAGTTGAATGTCTTCCATTATTATTCCACTTCATTTGAGTAGATAAATAAGATGATTTGCCAATAGAATCGGTAATTTGCTCTTAAAATAAGATAATTAGACAATATGCATTTGAAATAACACAATGCTATTTTTTTCCCTTATTTTAAATGTAAATTCTCTTGTTCCATTTGCAAAGTGTTTCACTTACCTCCTAAATTCAAGAAAAAATGACTTATTTAGAATTCAATGTTTTGTAGTGTGCTGCCACATGTGTCTCTGCTGAGTCTATATATATAATGTAATTATTTTTATTTGAATGTTTTATTCTATTTTATGAACCTAAAATCTGTAGTCTAGCAAACATTTATTCTGTATATTGAAACAAGTTTTGAAAAGTTTTTATTTCTTTTTATATTTTTCACTGTAAAATTCTTACTGTTGTGTTTCTAGGAAGACAATTTTAAGATCTGTCCAGAGACAACAGATGAAAAACAGCCTTTTGGCTAATTCTGCTGCGTTTGCAGGAATGCTTATTAATGTACAACATCCCCGTCAAATAAATAAAAATAAATCCAAAGAAAAACACGGCTCCTGTCGTGGCATCTAGATTAACGCAGAGGAAAACCGCAGATGATTCTGAGCCAAGCCAGTTATCAAAATGAAACACACACGGTGAGAGATGGAAGTGCCACAAGCAGCAAGATTAACTACACTGGAAAAATGATCTAGAAACAATAAAACATATTATATTAAGTGTATTTAACCTTATTTTGAGCAGGCTAATGAGATAGTTTGCTAATGGAATGAGTGTTTTACTCTTAAAATAAGATAATTAGATAAAATGCACTTTAAATAAGACAATGAAATTGTGTTTTCTTATTTTAAATGTAAATTGTCTCGTTCCATTGGCAAAATGTATCTTTTACTTTCTTAATCCAAGAACAAATGCACTTATTTTAAGAAAAAATTACGATTTTTCCCATGTAAACTTTAGTGAATTTAGCCCCTGCATGATAGACCCCTTCAGCTGCAGTGTTTCTTTGCTGAGGATTTAGGGGCCTGAGGTGAAGTCATTTCCACGTGTTAACAGGCCTCGTGCAGCACAGCCAGGCAGTAAACATGCAGGACTGCTGCATGCTCCATTAACTCTTCGAAATCCTCACTTTAAATGAGAACAGCTTCAGGAAAGCAGAACATTTTAAGAACAAAAAAGAAAAACCCTCAAACATTACTGGAGAGATTTATCTCTTCAGTTCTGGATGATTTCTATCCAAAAATTCTAAAGTTCTTCTCTAATAATAGGAAGTTAAATTAATTAAATAATAACAAATATTACATTTTCTTTTCAAGATGAGGTATTGGTAATTACCCAGCCATATTGAGTTGTGAAATATTCCATTTCTGAAGCCCCACGCTTGTGCCTCTTTCAGTAGTAAGACCAGAGTCCAGAGGAGAGCCAAGACGTGCATCCTGGAGCTGATGGAGTGCAGCTGTTCTGAGCAGATGTTTGCAGCTGTTCTGTCCTCTGCTGCTCTGCAGTGGCGGCTTTTTATACGGACACTCCAGCCTCCGGGGGGCGGTGGCAAACACCCAGCATGGCGGAATGATTAAACCCAGTCATGGTTCTTTTCTAACTACTATGTTTGGCTCATGATGCATTTTAAACATTATAAAATATTCTTTTCTAGATCAAAAATGAGTCAACTGTTCTTAAATTAATTGTATTTTCCCTTAATTTAAGTAGGTATATAAGATAAACTGCCAATCGAATGAGGATTTTTACTCTTAAAATAAGGTAATTAGATAAAATACAGTTGAAAAAATACAATGAAATATTTTTTTTTATATTTTACATGTAAATTGTCTTGTTCCATTGGCAACGTGTTTCACTTACACTGCAAAAAAAGTAGATCTGAATAAGTCATTTATTCTTGAAATAAGTGGATTTTTTCTTGAATTGAGTAGGTACGTGAGACACTTTGCCAGTGGAAAAAGACAATATACATTTAAAATAAGAAAAAATAAGGAATTTAGTCTCATTTCAAGTCCCGATTATCTAATCATCTTATTTTCCTACTCAAATTGAGGTTAATTACACTTAATTTAAGAAATTTGTACTTGTCTCTTGATTGTTTTTGCAGAGTATCTCCTCAGCTCAAGAAAAAAGGCACTCATTTTAAGGAAAAATGACCTATCTAGATGTCCGTTTTTTCCAGTATAAAAGGAGAAGTAGATAAGTACATCTGTCACAAATCAAACGAAAACTTGAAAATTTGAGTAGGTAAATGAGATAGTTTGCCAATGGAATTAATAGTTTTACTCTTAAAATAAGATAATTAGATAATATGCACTTAAAATAAGACAATATGATTGTGTTTTCTTATTTTAAGTGTAAATTGTCTTGTTCCATTGGCAAAATGTCTCTTTTACCTCCTCAATCCAAGAAAAAAGGCACTTATTTTAAGAAAAAAAAGACTTTTCTAGATTTAGATTTTTTCCAGTGTATGGGCTGGGTTTCCTTAGGTAGGGACGTTTTAACCAGTCTGACTGGATGATCTGATTGAATTGTGTCTGCAAAGTTCCTTGATATTACCTTATTTGAATTATTGCTACACTGCAAAAAACTGAAATCTAAATAAGTGCATTTTTTCTTGAACTGAGAAGGTAAGTGAGACACCTTTTCAAAGGAACAAGACAATTTGCCTTTAAAGTCTTATTTTAAGTGCAAAATATCTAATGATCTTATTTTAACAGTAAAAATATTCATTCCATTTGGAGATCATCTTATTTACCTACTGCGATCAAGGGTAAATACAGTTAATTTAAGAAATTTTAACTTATTTTTAGTTTTTGCAGTGTATATAAATAAACTGCATTGAACTGAATAAAGGAGGACCATAGATGGAACCAGGTGGAACTAGCCTGACGTAGTCCTACTCAATTCTAGTCAGAATGAGTCTGATGCTGCTCCATAGAGCTGTGATTATGGGGCGTGTTTCCAACGAACCAGGAAAAAAAATGCCTCTGCACTCAATTGGATAGACCTACAACCAATAAGAGCAACGGAGTGCGTGACGTATGTTAAGCGAGGCATAGTTGTTGTCACCCAAGCGCGCTTTGGTGACGTGGTTGATTACGTTACTGTTGATCATCTGTCCATCATCGTATAAAGCCCGCCCTGACAATTTGATTGGCCTGCCAGATATTGTGCGAGCATACTCGCGCTACTATTGAGCAATGCCAGACCGAACTTCCCGACCTCAAACGCTGTGGGCGGGACTAAGTTCGGAATGGCACCCAGGATAAGGTGGAACACCACAGGTCAAAGGAATGTGGTAACGAAGAGGACTGCGATTGCAAAGGTCAGTAAAAAGTTACAGGGCTTTGCAGGAATGCCCTCTATCAACAAATGAGAGAAGTTTGATAAAAGTAGAGATTTTGGAGTTTTCTACCCATGCATATTCATCCATTCATGGAATATCATACACTGGGTGACAGAGTAACACCGAAATCCCAAATTCTTCGCAACCATCCCGGTCCGTCCCGCTCCAGATCACCTGCGCAAAGTCAACAGCCTCCGCTGTTCCTCCCATCTTGCTCCACTCCGACTCCCTTGGAGCTCGAGGATAGAATGCACGATATTATTATTAACTCTCAAAATTATTCTAACAAATCCGAACACTGCAAAAATGGTCTAGACATAAGTAAAAATGTCTTAAATCAAGCGTATTTACCCTTCATTTTCGTAGGTAAATGGGATGATTTGCCAATGGAATAAGTATTTTCACTCTTAAAATAAGATTATTAGATAATATGCGCTTGAAATAAGACAATGCGGTTGCTTTTTCTTATTTTAAATGTAAATTGTCTTGTTCCACTGGCAAAGTATCTCACCTAACTCCTCAATTCAAGAACATATGCACTTATTTTAAGAAAAAATGACTTATTTAGATTTCCATTTTTTGCAGTGAAGGCATTTGGAGGAAGGATATACAGTCTTTCCAATGAGGCTTGGGGTCTTCCCTAGGATCTTCTCCAATGAAATGCTCCAGAAAACCTCCAGAGGCGCCTTCAAGCCATCCTAATCAGATGCCTAAACCTTACAGTAGTAGCCATTCAAAATTTCCCACTTTCCTTGATGGGTCCTTAGCTGGTCCCCTACAATTTCTTTTTAAGCATTAATCTTTGAACTAAAAATTTTTTTTCTGACATGATTTATGGACATAAAAAACCTTTATATGGCAAGTAACCATTTTTGATCCCTTGCCTCCCCCTTACAAATGTAGTCCCCCCCCCGACCCTCTGTGAGGTCTAGAAGCACAAGATCTATATCCAGTCATTCAGCAAAGATCCTGCTACATTGCTGTACATCTGATTTTGGCATTTGACCAATTAGATGAGCCCTTGAATGATGTATTACTTACTGTACATTAAGTTAAAAACAAAGTTAGCAAGAAAAAAAGGTAAAAAGCTAATTGAAAAGATAAAAAGTTAATATCGTAGTTAACAATTATATTTAGCTCTTTAAACTAAAGAAAGTAAGAGCCAGTATCAGCATTAATGCCTCCAAGGTTATGTTGTACCAAAAAAATTTTTATAATATTATAAACTATAAATTTAATATTATAATTATTAATATTACATTCTTTTTTATGTTACAAAGGTATTCAGGTCTTTCCCTGGATTTCAGAAACACTATTGGCTTGAAATTAAGGTTTTCATATTATTTCAATGAGTCCCCTATAAAGGGTTAAGCATCATCTCCTGGTCAGACCCTGTAATTCAGTGAAAGGATGGAGCCAGAGTCAAAAAATATGCACATCCAGGAAGGGAGGGGGTCCCTCCAGTGGCTGGAAGTTGGAGGGGATTTTGCTGGGAGCTCATTTTAAGGAAAAATGACCTATCTAGATGTCCGTTTTTTCCAGTATAAAAGGAGAAGTAGATAAGTACATCTGTCACAAATCAAACGAAAACTTGAAAATTTGAGTAGGTAAATGAGATAGTTTGCCAATGGAATTAATAGTTTTACTCTTAAAATAAGATAATTAGATAATATGCACTTAAAATAAGACAATATGATTGTGTTTTCTTATTTTAAGTGTAAATTGTCTTGTTCCATTGGCAAAATGTCTCTTTTACCTCCTCAATCCAAGAAAAAAGGCACTTATTTTAAGAAAAAAAAGACTTTTCTAGATTTAGATTTTTTCCAGTGTATGGGCTGGGTTTCCTTAGGTAGGGACGTTTTAACCAGTCTGACTGGATGATCTGATTGAATTGTGTCTGCAAAGTTCCTTGATATTACCTTATTTGAATTATTGCTACACTGCAAAAATCTGAAATCTAAATAAGTGCATTTTTTCTTGAACTGAGAAGGTAAGTGAGACACCTTTTCAAAGGAACAAGACAATTTGCCTTTAAAGTCTTATTTTAAGTGCAAAATATCTAATGATCTTATTTTAACAGTAAAAATATTCATTCCATTTGGAGATCATCTTATTTACCTACTGCGATCAAGGGTAAATACAGTTTACGTTTTAACGTAAACTGTATTTACAGGGGAGCCGAAAGGCAGCCGAATGGCAGCCCACTGCAGGGAAGTGGGCTGCCATTCGGCTGCCTTTTGACTGGGAAGGGCCATTTTGAACGGCTGCTATTACTTTCATCGTGGAGATATAATGGAAAGGTTGGAACTCTGGTTCATATATTACATGAGTGTGACATAACTAAAGACATGTGGAATGCGATAATTTTGTTTGTGAATAAGGATTTTGTTACACATTTGTATTATTCCTGTTAGGATCACTTTCAGATCATTTTAAAATGGGAAAACATCAGAAATCTTGTTGCTGTTCAGATATGACAACAGGGTGCAGAATAACTTTACGCCACTGGAAATCTCCCACTCAGTCCATGTTTAAGGAGTGGATACAGGTTCTAAGTTCAATGGCCGGCTACTAACAGGTCACCTATAGGGTCGGCTGGGAGGGAAGAGGGGTGGGAGCCATTCCTAGATCAATTGCTGGACATGTCAGGATGTCTCCTTATATTTTATTAGAGGAACAGGATTGCTATAATAGACTTTCTATTACTAGACTTTTAATTACTCTTATTACGGTATTTCATTATCACCCTTGTTTTATGGTTATTTGTGTAGGAAAGACAAAAGAATAAAAGGCTGGACAGCTGCTAAGTGCACACACAATGTTTTTCTGATTCATGTTACTGTATCAAGATAGTGGGTGCTCTTCTGCATCTGTCCAAAAAAATAAAAGATGACCTTCAGCACTTCCTCCAGATGATGGAGCCTCTCAATATATATTTAACTCTGAGTCCACCATGCATGGAGGAAGCTAAAATTGGCTGCTTCTATCTAGGATCTCATTATTTCAACTGTGACCAGAGATGAGGGTCAGTTGATTTGCAGTAAAGCACTTGCTTTACTGTCAAAAAGATTATTATCAAACTCCTCCTTTCCACTCTACCCACTAAATGAGGCATAGCAGACTGGGAATGTTAAC